CTTTGCAGCCAACTCCTCGGCCGCCTTGGCCTTGGCTATGGCCATGATTGAACGGCGATCCATAACAAAGCCTACACAAAGGAAAATGAACAAATTAGCAAGGCAAAAGAACAAAAAACAAAGGAAGGAAGCCAGAGAAAGTATTACCATCGGCCTCAGCAGGAATGCCCAAATCCGGGTCGTCGGCCTCTTCGAAGGTAGTGGTCATCCTCGGCCAAAGTTGGACATCGTCCTCCTTGTCGCCATACACATAGTACCTAAAGAAGCCGAGGGCGGTCATCTTATATTCGGTGATGTAGTCTTTCACGCTCCTCGGCCCCCCTTCCAAGAACGCCTCCACCTGAGCGTCCAAGATCGAACTCCTCGGCGGGTCGTGCAGATTGAACCTCCCGGTGTGGCCGAGAGAGGGAAACTCAATGCCGTTCTCACCAAGGGATACAAAACAGAACTTGCTCTTCCATCCATGGATGGACGAAGGCAAGTCCGTGAAGCTCCTCTTCTTCGGCAGCTGTTGGAGGGTAGCATAGGCTGCACAGTTTTTGTGGCTTCCTCGGTCGATCTGATAAAGATTCATGAACAGAGCCATCGTCGGCATGTAGCCCAACTCCTCACAGCGGAGCAAGAACCCCACCATCAACGAGTAGCTGTTCGGGGTCAGCAAGGCCGGAGGGAGCTCCACCATGTCTAGATATTCAGTGATGAAGGGATGAAGGGGAAACCTCAGCCCCTTGGCGAAACTCATCGAGTATACTCCGAAGTACCCCGGTGGCGGATTGAGTACATGGTCCGTCGGCCTGGGTGCCCTAACCCTCCCGAACGGCCCCACGTACATCTGGACAACTAAGTAGTCAGCCGCGCTGCTCTCCGGCTTGATCAAGTAAATATTTGTGAGATCTAGGTAGGAGACGCCTGGCCCACTCTTCGGCCTCCTTACTCTCTTCGGCTTCTCTGCTCCCTTCACGGCAGACACCGGTCTCGGGCACGGAATAACAACGGAAGTGGACGCCCCGTCCACCACTCGGGACGCACCTGCGTCCTCACCTTTTGAAGACGAGGCGGACTCCTCGTCCTCGCCTTCGTCGTCCACTGGCTCTCCGGACTTGTAAGGACTTAAACGCTCTATCTCTTCCTCGAACTCCTCAAGCACCTCATAGTCGAGGGACCTAGTGGAGGGCTGGTCGTCGTACGGATAGTATTCCTCGTCTAAGCTCTTCATCATAACAACTATTACGAGCCTAAGGGGAATTACTTTGGATCTAAGGCGTTTTGTCCACTAACACTAGATCAAGGCTCAGGGAAGCAAAGTATGCAAAGGAATTGAAGAACAAGTCAAGAACTAACTTTGAAGATATGAAGAACTCGAAGAACACCTTGAAGACTCTCTCTCTCTAGAAATTCGGGCAGTACTTCGATATCTCAAGAATGCAAGTAAGGAACCGCTTCGGAGGAGGGGGGTATTTATAGACAATCTCCAACGGTCACTACACGTGGTACCATATCAATGGCCACCTCAGCGGTCACCTTCCCAGCAGCCGATGAGGTGCCACCCCTTCAGAAATGGGCCGGGCTCGTGAACCAACCTACCGGCGGAGTAGAAGCCTACGGATCACACGGACAACGAGCGCCCACAACGGCCTATATGCTTGCCGGCTTCACAAGTGCCAGCAAGCGCCCACAACGGCCTATATGCTTGCCAAGTTCACAAATGCCAACAATAAGGAGATGACAACGGCCAGGAACGTCATGAACGCCCGTGACGGCCACAGAACCAAAGGAACAAAGAACCCGCACCCATCGGCTCTCCGTAACGACCTTTGATGATAACTCTTTACAAGCGATCTGCGCACAAGGGTTCTCCCACAGGATTACCTTGGCCAGAAAATCGCCATAAGGGTTGGATCCAGGGGCACTACGGAGAGGCCGCTTCGGCCAGGGACTCAAGCAACTCCTTCACCCCTCACACTCTTCGGCCTGAAGTAGAGGGGGACTGGGGGACTACATCGGCCTCAACAAAACAAAAAGGAAAAATGCAAAGGACACAAATGTAACCACAAAGCATGGCCACATCGTCCATGTATCACACTGCGCCTCGTCGGCCAAAGGCACATAACATCATCAGCAACGGCCAACTGGCCACCTAAGGCAAGGACATCCATCGTCCTCCGCCAATAGTTAATCATAATGGGCTCTTCGGCCAAGAACATGAAAGCCAATCAGCGACGACCAAAAGGAGTGCGCAAGCACCCTCATCGGCCCAAATATAAATCTCAACCATCAACGTCCAAAAAAGGGAAAACATGCCTTCAACGGCCACCATCGAAGCAGGGCACTCATCGTCCCCAAAAGGACACACCAAGGAAACAACGGCCCCCCGTCCACAAAGAAGAGCAGGTAACGGCCAAAGCACGAAACAAGATCACCGAAATGAAGACAGCGCCAAAACCGCAACAGCTAACGGCCTGGGAGTGCCCGCATCGGCCAAAAGTACCAAAGCACGGGAATCTACTCTCCTTCACTTCGTCTACGTCTCAGCTTAGAGAGTGGGGGACTCCTGATGGAGTATATGGGTCTCAGCCCCCGGACCCACATACTCAGAAGAACAGAAAGCACAAGACACTGAGTGGTGTCCTCGTCGGCCAAGGGACCCCCGTCGGCCGGAAAGGTACCAACTCAGAATATGGTCCTGAAGCCAAGGAACCCGGGTGCCCTCGTCGGCCGCGCCCTCGTCGGCCGTGCCCTCGTCAGCCGCGCCCTCGTCGGCCGTGCCCTCGTCGGCCACGCCCTCGTCGGCCACGAAGACCTCACAGAACCGGATTTTACACTTACTCATTTGTACAGCCCATTAGTGGCTTTGTATTCGGCCCAGTAGCGGTCCAGTTGTAAATGGGCCTCCCAAGCCCAAGGCTTGGGAGCCCAGCCCGTATTTTCTCTATAAATACTCCCCCTGGAAGTAGTTATAGGGGTTACAAATTCATTCTATTGAAGCATATTATTGCACTTCTCTCTCTAGCTCTCACTTCTCTCTAGATATACTCTATCAATCTTATTTTTCTAGGTAAGTCCACTTATTAATTTCATCAACTATGGGAAAAATTCTATGTGACGAAAAGATTAGGGAAAAAAATTGAAATAAAAATAAAACATCTGGGAAAATGTTAGAAAGAAAAAATAACATTCTTCCGTTTTTTGTTTTTATTTTTTTTACATTTCCTGAATGTTTTATTTTTCTTGAAATTTTATTTTTCTCTAATCTTTTTATCACAAGAGTTTTTCTCACAATTGATGGATTAATGGGTTGATTTACTTAAAATACATATAAAAACATATTGATGGTGGAATTAAGATAATAAGAAGAAAGGAAAAAAGATATAAGAAAAAAACATTTAAGAAAGTGACAAGAAATGAAATATAACAAAAACTAGAGTGAGAAAAAAATATTTAATAAAAAGAGAATGACTAAGAATAGAAACATAAACAAGGAAATGAAATAAAAATACGAGAAGAAAGAGAAAATGACAAAAAATGCATTTCGGATGGACATTTTACAAAAAACTCTCCCAATAGAGTGAGAAATAGAATAATAAATATGGAAAAGAAATCAGAATAAAGGATAGAAAAATGAATAAAAAAAGTGTCCATGGATAAAGTAAGGAAAGAAAAATTTGTAAGTTTTTGAGCAGATTTGTGAAAGGTTGGATTATTTGTGTAAGTTTTTCGGAAAAAATGCTAAAAACCTGGTATAGTAGGTCACTAACAGGTAAGAGTCCAACGAATGAAGATGTGATGCAAATGTGGGATTGTTGTGGGAATAACTAAAGGTGAGATTATTATGATCGAGAAGATCAGTCAAATGTGAGATTATTCTTGTCAGTTTTTCGTAAAAATAAAACAAGTTCGCTATTTACAAAAAGTAATTGGGTAATTAGGGTCATGTTTTCATTGTTTACATTGAAATCAATATATTTTTTTCTTATATTCTGTTTAGACAAATTACATTTCAACTGGACTCAAGTTACATTTCCTATCAACGTGAGTTACATTTGTTTATACTCGAGTTACACCACCTTGATATTGAAACACACAAAAAAACTGTTCAAAAAAATGCTTGCTTTTAACTTTGGGAGCATGTTGATTATAGTGGGCCGGTGTCACGGTATACGAACCGCTGTTAAATAGCCCAACTTATTTAAGACATCAAGAATATTGATCTCTAGATTTATAGCACGAAGTTCAAAGCACCAAACCATGATGATATAAAATGTGTCTGTGTTATAATTATTCATGCGCAAATGTCACTTTTATAAATAAATTTAATTATCAAATAAATAGATAATGATTATTTTTTCATAATTTAGTGATCTTGACAAATATTAAAATAAATAATTTCTGAATTATTAAATTCGTTCTTGAAGAGAGTTTGCACATGATTAATTATAAACATGGAAATTTGACACATTTTTAAATTACAAGTTAGGGGAGGGCAGTATGACTGCTTTACCTATAGTAGAAACCCGATCGAGAAATGTTTCTGCTTATATCCCTACTAATGTAATTTCTATGATTGATGGACAAATATTCTTATCCGTCGATCTATTTAATGCTGGAATAAGACCTGGTCTCTGTAGGGGTCAACTGAATTTATATACTATCCTCCGTTCCATAAAAGTTGCAACAGTTTGACTTTCACGTTTGCCAACGCGCAACTTTGACTGTAATTATATTTATTTACGTATTAGTAAACATTAAAAAAAGTTAATATATTGGAAATTTACATTAATACAAATTTATTAATATTTTATACATAATATTTTATTATATATATTATTAGAAAATCGTAGTCAAAGTAAGGTGTGTGAATAGTGCAGAAATTCCAATGTTGCAACTTTTATGGAACGGAGGAAGTATGAGAAAAGTAAGATTTGGTGCATTAATGGAAATTTTGATGTCAATCAAAAGTTTTTGTTGAGAGTGGGCATTAAAGCATTTGTATGTATTTGACCAAAATTGAAACATGTCTACCATACTGTACTCCTCTCGGGGTCATTTCTTCAAGCACCTTTCATCCACCACGACTCTTTGTGCCACCTTCTTCTCCGGCCGCCGTATTTGCCGACCCCAAACACATTCCTGGTTTACATCTTTCACTTATACCCCTCATCTAACTAGAAAACACCAGGGCAGGTTCATTACAACTGGCGCAGAACTGTCAACGCCATCATCCTCCACTGCACCACTGCTTCCTTCAAAAGTTTCGGGTGGAGACTCACTCACTTCATCTTACCTCTCTGTCAGCATCCGCTGCGAGAAGGATGTTTCTGTAAGAAAAGTGAATCTCTGTGTGTCCATACTCGAATGCCTGATTGCCTGATATTGGAATAGATATATTTTGAGGAAATGGAGCGTCTGTTTCAATGTGTAGGATTCGTGTTGAGGATAAGAATTATGTATATTCCTGATGCTCATGAGTTTTATTTGCTTGCCAGGATATGCTTTCAGAGGCTCTTCTGTGCTATGGAGCCAGTTCAACAACAGTGGATGAAAGTGAGGATGGAAATGAGGTAATAATTATATCAATTACCCTATCTTGTCTCACTACTTTGTGCCGAAATGCATCCTAGTTTTTAGATTTTGGGAGTTCATCAGATAATTATATGTTTGCACACTATTTTTTACCATCAGTGTAGTGTTTCAACTGCAACATAATGTTGCAGGTTCGCTTGGAGTCTATATTTTATGTTAGTCATGATGTGAAGCAGTGCATTTCTCTAGCTTCCAATTCCATTGGTTTGGAAAAGATTCCTACCTATCAAGTTGTGGTGCACAACCAATCTGATTGGATTAAAGCAGTTCAGGTAAAGTAGTTTTTAATTTCTTTTGTTTGGCATGAGAATTGCCATTTATCATGGTTCATGTTTGGCACCTTTTTAAAAAATTATAACTCATACTGTGTATTTTTCTACTCATCATGGTGGATGGTAAATTTGTAATGGTAAATTGGTAATCAGCCTCTTATTTATGACTTGATTTTGCAAACAATCTCAAACACTGCAGGACTCTTTTCAGCCAGTGAAAGTTATGGAGAGACTTTGGATTGTACCTGAGTGGGTACCTGTTCCGGTATGAATATTTCTTTTCTGTTTAAGAGGCCCCATCTGCCTCATTCATAGGGATTCCTTTTGTGAACAATTTGATCTCATGCCTGATCTTTATTTATTTATTTGAGTCAAACCCTAATCTTCTATAATGAAATCGTATTTTTTTCCAATTGTTATGCTACAATATGAATCCAACCGTAATTGTTATTTTAAATTTTATAATTATGTAGCATGTCGTCTCTCATTCTCACATATGCAAATCTGATGTACTGATATAGACATGCTCTGTTCCTGACCGTGTAGGATCCTCGAGCAACAAATATTATTCTAAATCCCGGTTTGGCATTTGGGACTGGAGAACACAGTACAACTAAATTGTGTCTCTTCTTGCTGCATGATATAATAAAAGGAGGAGAGGCCTTCTTGGATTTTGGAACAGGCTCAGGCATCCTTGCTATTGCTGCAATCAAGGTACTATGGCACTATGCTAAAACAAATTCATGTGAAAACTAAAAAACGCTTCAGTTTTGTGATGGAAAATTGGAAAGTTTTCAAAGTTAACACGGTTAGTTCAAGCATGAGTAGTTTTGGTTGATTACATAATGTAGATCATATAACCTTTAAAATTATAAAAAAAAAAACTGAAGACTGATAGCCCTCCCAAACAGGGCTATCAGTTTTGAATTTTCAAAATCATAATGTACTGAACTAATGACTGAAGAGGTCTTACCACTAATGCTATAAAGTACAGTTTGGTGCTGCACTTTCAGTGGGTTTTGACACAGATGCCGAAGCAATTACTGCAGCTCAACATAATGCTTCTCTGAACGGTATTGGACATACGAAAATCCTGGTCCAACTTGTTCCTAAATCTAACAGCCTGCAAATTGATACTAGATTGAGCGCAGAAATGAGCACACAGGATATGAATAATAAAGATGTGTTCTATGAGAAAAATAAATATGATGTGGTTATTGCGAATATACTGTTAAATCCTCTTATTGAGTTAGCAAACCAAATTGTCTCCTATGCCAAGCGTGGAGCAGTTGTAGGATTATCTGGGATCCTTTCAGAGCAGGTATGATCATGTTGTCTTTAGAAGAAAGGATGAATATATACATCAATTTTAATACCATTACACTGGGAATGGTTCGGCCTTTGTTGTTAGCCATGAGGGACCAAATAACCTGACCAAAAATATAAAGAAACAAAAAGAGAGAATGATTCTTGATCTGAGATCCAACATTGGGGAACCTTATTAGAAGCCAACATTCTTTTGATTTGTATGCAGATCCCATGCATCCTAGAATGTTATTCAGAATTACTTGAAGACATGAGGGTCTCCAATATGGATGGCTGGGCATGCATACATGGATTCAAGAAATAAAACAGCTGAAGTCTTTGGTCTGCGACTAATTTATTAGGCACGATGTATTTGGAGTGAAAGACCCTTATAGTCTGATACGGACTAAGAAAAATTGTTTGGTAGAAAGATACTTATATGCTACATCCAGCCCTAAACTTGGGTGAAACCACTGAATAGGTTAAATTTACTGAATTATGAGAAAAATATAGTACTAGTAGTATTTTATTAATAAAGTAAAGAAAAAAAGTAGCTGAAAAATAGCTGAAATGACTCTCTACAATAACTTTAATTTTACTTATTTTGATTATTACACAATTCAGCATTCGAAATCAAAAGTACGGAGTAACATGTTTGGTAAAAAACTGGCTAATAAGCTAAAAATATTTGTTATCAAACACGTAGTTAATGTAAACTAGTATTCCACCCATGCGTTGCATGGGGTGTAAGATACAAATATTATAAATATAAAAAATCATTTTACCTCTAATCAAATTAAAGAATATATTACGTAGTATTACTTCCGTCCCTGAAAACTTTGTCAAAGTTGACCGACACAGAGAATAATAAAATAAAAATTGTGTGGTTGAGGTTTGTGCAGAGAAGAAAGAAATTACAGAAACCACAAAATATTGATTAAAAGGGAAAGTGTCAAAGTTTTTTGGGACATCCCAAAAAGGAAAGATACAAAGTTTTAAGGGATAGAAGGAGTATAATTTATCGCGGGAATGAGAGTAACCACTACCAAATACATAATAAAAAAAATATTTTGAGTTTAATAAGCATACAAGTTTACAAATTATTGAAGACTTCTTTGTAGACAACAATTTTTGCGGTCTTTTTTCAGATTCCCTCGTCGTCGCATATCACGAACTTCAATCCAGACGGACTCGTCACCTTCGAAACTGTAACATATAACTGTCCATGTGTAAAAACTGGACGTCGTAGAAAAACACCCACATTCTCTAACGATTGTCCTTGGCTCTTGTTCATTGTCATTGCATAGCTAACCATCAAGGGGAATTGCCCACGCATGAATGTGAAAGGTACCCTAACATCTGTCGGCGTTAGACTAATCCTCGGGATAAGGAATTTCTCACCTGCATTAGTTTCAGACATCATATGTGCCTCAATAATATGTTCACCAAGTTTTGTCACTAAAAGTCGGGTACCATTACACAAGTCGGTCGAATGATCTATGTTCCTCATGAGCATCACCGGCACACCAACTTTTAGCTTCACCTCGTGACTTGGAACACCAGAACATTTTATGCCGTTAAGGAATTCAGGAGAATGAATTTCCTGAAGGAGCTCATTGTCTGAGGTTGAGGAACACGCTGAATCTGAACTGAAATATGTCTTTTCCTCTAAGATGTTCTGCAGCAACATGAAATCATTGACCTTGTCTACCTCATCAATTATCGACGCATGAATTGCTCTCCCTTCAAGATATGAGATCTTGTTCATGTTTTTCAAAAAATCTGGATAAGTAGCGTTGACAATGGATCCAATGAGATCAAACATTACTGGACCATGATAATTTTCCGATATATCAATTTTCGTTTCTCCACCATCGCTCCCTGCCGGAACACCATCACCAATTTGAAGTATCCAATCGGCAAAAACCTTCAAAATACTTGGATTGGCCGATTCATTTGTGAAGTTCTTGAGTCTCATGCTTTTTGTTAACTTCAACACCATATAATACAGCCACAAATGTGATGCATTCAAAGATGCATGAACTATATCATGTCTTGTGCCTTTAGGAATGACAGACAACACTTGTCTAAAGTCTCCACAAAAGACAATCATTTTTCCACCAAAAGGCAATTTTGGATTGCCATCATGAGAGCAAGATAGTATATCTTTCATACTTCTATCCAGAGCTTCAAAGTCATGCCTGTTAAAATCTATATATACATAATATCACTACAATTTTTTTACTATTCATTGAACAATAAAAATATTGTTCATTGAACAGTATTCCCGCTCACACACAAAGTTGATCTCAATCGTCCGCTCCATCGATCATCGCCCTTTCTTCTTCGCCCACATTCCTCCCTTACCATCGACTTCTCGGTTCTCAATCCATCTCTATTTTCATTAATCGATTCCTCTCCAACATCCAAATTCGCCTGTTGTCTTCTCATTGAGTTATCTTCATCGTCGTGTATCTGCGTCATGATATTACCGAAGGTGCCCAACATCAACACCGTTTGCAAGGGAATTAGATCGAGTGTGCACATAATCGGTTCCACCAGGTTTCAGGTTTGCTGTATCCTGAGTTATTTTGATTTATAACTTCAATTCCTAATTCCATATTTGTTCTCAATCGTCCGCTCTTCTTCGCACCATCCAAATTTGCCGGCTGTTTTCTCATTGAGTTCTCTCCACCATCAAACTCGTATTCTTGGGAATTAGATCGAGTGTGCACCAGTCGGCTCCACCAGGTTTTTAGATTTGCAGTTAAGGTTATATTTTGATTTATAACTTCAATTCCTAATTCCTATCCAATTAAGTTTCAATAATGTATTCTAAACATTCTTACATCTAGATATTGTTATAATTCAATTCAGCCATTGATAGGAATGAATGACAAATTACTGGCATTATCCTTCACTGCTGCTTCAGCACATGGATCTATCGAGTTTATTCTATAGTTTATAGTGGTAAAGTTCTGACTCATCCACAAATATTTAGCCATTACTGTGTGCTTTTAGATTATTATTTGAGCTATAAGTAGGCTTAACCCTCCTGATTATAAGTCCTGATTATAGGTAAGACTTTATCTTAGATTGTATGTTATCTTTTGCTTATAAGTACATTTTTTCAATTCTGATTCAACCAAAGTAATTGATATAATCTTTCAAGCTTCTTCACTTAATTGTGGCTTGGAGAAGCTGCTAGAAGTGTTGTCTTATCCGCTGTTTGGAGCAATGCTTGGTATCATCTCAATGAGGTTGTTTTTGATGATTCCTTACATCATAACATTTACTGACTATGGGCAGATAATGAAGCTTATTTGATTCTTAAAAATCAAACTCACAACTTCTAGAGAATTCTGAAAATGAGAGACCTCTTCATATACAACAGGATTAAAAATTACGCTCATATGAAAATATACTTCATTTGTTGCTAATCACATGCTTCCTATGAACTTGGATTTGGGATCTGTTCGTTCCCTTCATTTGTGTTGTGATGTCGTTGGGGTATGTGTACTAAACTTATTAAATGTTTTAAATATTAATGTTTGTGTCAACTCAGCTAAGGTATTCTAAACATTCTTAATGTAAAAAAGGCAAAACACAAATGCATTTTTATACTTCTTTTTTCTGACTGCAGGTATATATATGTGAATTTGATAAGTTGTTCCTTTCAGTAATGAAGAAAGTTGCTCAAAAACTCGACATTCAGATATACAATGGTGGTGGTAGGTATTACCGTCTGCCGCCCTGTATCCTTAAATGCCCTACACTGAGTAAAAAATGTAAAACAGAATTGCATTTTTTACTTCTTTTTACAGGAGTTTTTAGTATTGAATTTAGCTTCATGACTCATTTTGAGTAGTTCACCGTTTTTTTGTTTTCTGCCTTACATCATATTAAAGTTTTATCAACATTCTTATCACTTTTTTTTAATTTTTTTGATATCGTCTCCTTTTCTCTGTTTTCTCCTTTACATCATATTAAAGTTTTATCACCATGCTTACTATTGCTTTTTTTACTATCTATTGTGCTTCAAATTATCATCATAGTATAAAAAATTCAGCTTCTTATCTAGAACATTTTTACATGCAACTTTTTTACCTAGAACATTTTTATCATATAATTTTGAAATTCTGTTTCAAAGTATCGTATTTACACGCTTCACCTCTTTTTCTCAAGTTTAAGAGTGTTAAAATGGTAAGTATATTGTACAATAAAAGAAATGTTTTTTAACACAATAATCTCATCATCAATTTAGGGGAATAACAAAAAATTCAACATAAAACACATAACGGTAGTGTGTACACCAACACTTTTGATTTGCCTGCTAGCTAAATTGCAAAAAGATTAGGTATTTGTAGCCCTGGTGTATATCTGCTAGCTAGAGTGAGCAGACACCATCCTAATCAAACCTCTTTCCATCAATTCTTGGATTGCCCTCCTTGCAAGTGATCCACTAATCCTTAAACGATCGGAGAGGTCTGAAGGCGTGATGAGCTTGTATTTTGGAGCTTCCGACAAGAGCTTCTCATATGTAGCCTTGTCAAAAAGCACCATGTTGTTCACCTTCTCCTTTTTCTCTCCCTTGCTCCACTTCTTCTTTTTCTGCTTGCCACCACCGGTCTTGGCGGGCTTGGAGGCGGTTTGAGGAGCCTTTTCCTTCTTTGGCGCCATTGTCTGTGGAATCTAGGGTTTGGGCAAAGGTTGAGCTCTGGGTGACTTCTTGTTTCTTAAATAAATACTTTAAAAATGGTAAGTATGCTCTACCTTATACGAAACGTTTATTTAAATAAAATAAAAACTTAAAAATAGCAAGTATGTTCACCATATGATAATCCTAGAATCAAAACCTAAAAGGAAACACTTTTTAAGGAAACGTGCAATCCTATATACATGGGATAAATCTACCTTCTATTTTTAGACTCATACTATAAATATGTTTGGTTAATAAAAGCCTTATTTCATTTCTATATTTATTAAGAGTCCCAACTATATGAATGGTAAGAATCTACCTTCTATTTTAGACTCATATCATATAATAAATTTGTTTAGTTAATAAAAGCCTTATTTCGTTTCTATATTTATTAAGAGTCCCAACTGTATGAATGATAAAATTCTTATAGCATTATTATATACATAAATAAAATCGTGTACTTAATTACAGGTATCATTAATAACCATAACTATATAAGGAAATGTGCATCTTCTAACTTACAGAATGAATCATTGAGATTCATATTTAAGGGTCCAAACATATTTACACACCAGGACCAAACGACCTTCTATTATATATACACGCACATATCATAAACTTAGAAAGTACTCGAGCATCTTAGTGTTTGAAGGCAAAGGTTCAACAGGTATGTCATTAACCATTTATAGTTCAATCATCTTTCACCAGTAAATCAATGACCTTTATTCTGATAAAAATCCTTCATGAACTTACATCATATGATACATGTGTTTAGTTGTTATTAATAATTATTATAATAGTTATTATTATAATTATTATTATATCATTATTATTATTATATTTCTTTTCGGATTTATACTTTC